TTATTTACATTTTGGATAGAGTAGGTAATGGTTTTTGCCACTTGTGTCCAATTGGAGAGAATTCCCTTCACTTCCCTTCCTATAGACCCAACAAAAAGAAGAGAAAATTTCCCTTTTATACAGATGTCACAGGAGCAAGAGTCCCCACAGGAAGATTCCTCCTATATTTTTCTTCTATTCCTGTTTTCATGACAAATCAAACTGTTGGATTTTCCCTCACTTTCAGTCTTGATGATCATGCTTACCAGGAAAAGTAGAGAGTAGCTATTAAAACATGACCGGGTCCTCACCCCTTACCACTCTATCCAAAAAAAAAAATGTATGTACCCTTTAAATGTAATACATATTCACTATCTTAGTATGAAACTAAACATTGCAATGTATAATCCTGGTACATCTTCTGTCACCACCTCTTTCTTCTAATGGTTTTTAACTTTTGTGAAAGGTTTTGCAAATTTCAGATTTTGGTCTCAAGGAAACCCTGTTAAGAATTACTATATCTTCAACTCATGATACAGTAGTGTGATTATCAGTGGGAAGAATGCCCATTACACTTGTGGTCATTGGGATGAATTACCCCCTTACAGATGGCTAAAAAGATCAATGGTGTCAATGGAAACTTATCTGAGAGGAAAAAATTGCTCAAGGAACCCCTAGCAACCTCTGGAGCAACTCTAGGGTTCCATGGAACCCTGGTTGAGAAACCCTGATCTAGACTGTTACGCCTTGAAACAATGGATAGAGCCTGAAATAGTCTCTTAATACCAAGAAATTATTCATATACTTTGTCATTAAACCTAGTTTTCTCTGAAAGTTATAAAGGATGGAATTCTTCTGTCCATTCCAAGAGGCCCTCGGCTATGAGCTGCCAGAGTGGTAAAGACCTGAATGTAGGGATCCCCAATGCCAACAACTATTAAGGGGCTGAAAGGATTTCCTGCTTTATTCCTGAAAATGGAATACTTTAAATGGATAAAGATGAAAATTTGACATTGCTCATGTTTTACTTTTTTAATGGTCATCATTTTATTTATTGAAGACCTCAAATAAAGGACCTATACAGCTGGTAAAATAAGTATTGAAAAATTCACCATTTTTCGAGGTAAATATATTTCTAAAGGTGCTATTGATTTGAAATTTTCACCACATGTTGGTAGTAACACATGCAATCCATACATACAAAGAAACCAAAACAAATAAGTTCAGAAATTAAAGCAGAGCTCTACTTTAAGGACTGGTCCCCCACTCCCCATTAAGGATTGGCACCTTTGCGGAGTGCGTACCCGAAAATTGACAGGTACCCACTCTGACTTCTGCTGTGATCCTCTAGGCGATTAGAAGCGGAAGTTGTCCTCATCCCCTACCTCCCTGCAGTACTTTGGGACATGTGATAGGTCCCTGAAGACTACAGGACCATTCAGAAAGCGTAGCTCTACTCACACATATGCAGTGGGCACCCGGCTGTGAAGCCGCACGCTGTCACAGCCTGGTGTCCACACTGGTATGCCAGCGCCAGGAACACAGGATAGCCGGTGAAACGGGCTACTGGACGACACCGAGGGATTGAGGGACAGGTGAGTGTCTGTCTGTCTGTTTTTTAAAAGTCAGCAGCTACAGTTTTTATAGCGGCTGACTTATTTTGACAGTTTCACTGTTATTACACATTATTTAAAGTGGAGTAAAATGGAATGACACAGGGAAAAATATTGAACACTTGAAGAATGGGAGGTGCAAAAAGGCATGGAAAGCCAAGGCATCAGCTGAAATCTATCAGTAATTAGAAAGCAATCCTGCCCCTTGTCAGTGCAGATTAATATCAGTTGGTTCAGTTTCAACTGATGACCTATAAAAAGGTGTCTCATTATCAAGGTATTACACCTACAGAAGGATTTCTAAACTTCTGAATGTTCCAATGAGCACTGTTGGGGCCATAATCCGGAAGTGGAAAGAACATTGTTTCACCATAAACTGGCCATGACCAGGTGCTCCTCGCAAGATTTTTGATAGAGGAGTGAAAAGAATTATCAGAAGAGTTGTCCAAGGGCCATCTGTAGACCGCTTCAGAAGGACCTGAATTTAGCAGGTACAATTGCTTCAAAGAAAACAATACGTAATGCACTCAACTGCCATGGCCTGTATGCACACTCATCACGCAAGACTCCATTGCTGAAGAAAAAGCATGTTGAAGCTTGTTTAAAGTTTTCTGTACAACATTTAGACAAGCCTGTGAAATACTGGGAGAATATAGTCTGGTGAGATGAGACAAAAATTTAGCTCTTTGGATGCCATAATACACACCATGTTTGGAGGTCAAATGCCACTGCACATCACCCCAAAAACACCATACCAACAGTGAAGTTTGGAGGTGGGAACATCATGGTATGGGGATGTTTTTCAGCAATACGGTACTGGCAAACTTCATATCATTGACAAAAGGAAGGATAAAGGGAAAAATGTACCAAGGCATTCTTGATAAAAATCTGCTGCTATGTACAGTGGGGATCGAAAGTTTGGGCATCCCAGCTAAAAATTTGTATTAATGTGCATAAAGAAGCCAAGGAAAGATGGAAAAATCTCCAAAAGGCATCAAATTACAGATTAGACATTCTTATAATATGTCAACAAAAGTTAGATTTTATTTCCATCATTTACACTTTCAAAATAACAGAAAACAAAAAAATGGCGACTGCAAAAGTTTGGGCACCCTGCAGAATTTATAGCATGCACTGCCCCCTTTGCCAAGCTGAGACCTGCCAGTGTCATGGATTGTTCTCAATCATCGTCTGGGAAGACCAGGTGATGTCAATCTCAAAGGTTTTAAATGCCCAGACTCATCTGACCTTGCCCCAACAATCAGCACCATGGGTTCTTCTAAGCAGTTGTCTAGAAAACTAAAACTGAAAATAGATGACGCTCACAAAGCTGGAGAAGGCTATAAGAAGATAGCAAAGCGTTTTCAGATGTCAATATCCTCTGTTCGGAATGTAATTAAGAAATGGCAGTCATCAGGAACAGTGGAAGTTAAAGCAAGATCTGGAAGACCAAGAAAAATAGACAGAACAGCTCGCAGGATTGTGAGAGAAACAATTCAAAACCCACGTTTGACTGCACGATCCCTCCAGAAAGATCTGGCAGACACTGGAGTTGTGGTACACTATTCCACTATAAAGAGATACTTGTACAAATATGGTCTTCATGGAAGAGTCATCAGAAGAAAACCTCTTCTACGTCCTCACCACAAAAATCATCGTTTGAACTTTGCAAATGAACATATAGACAAGCCTGATGCATTTTGGAAACAAGTTCTGTGGACCGATGAGGTTAAAATTGAACTTTTTGGCCGGAATGAGCAAAGGTACGTTTGGAGAAGAAGGGGCACAGAATTTAATGAAAAGAACCTCTGTCCAACTGTTAAGCATGGGGTTGGATCCATCTTTCCTTGGCTTCTTTATGCACATTAATACAAATTTTTAGCTGGGGTGCCCAAACTTTCGATCCCCACTGTACCAGGATGATGAAGATGAAACAAGGCTGGACATTTCAGCAAGACAATGATCTCAGACACAAAGCCAAAGAAACTCAATTGGTTTCAAAGAAAGAAAATAAAGCTGCTAGAATGGCCCAGCCAATCACCTGAGTTGAATCCAATAGAAAATCTATGGAAAGAAGTAAAGATCAAAGTTCATAGAGGCCCACGGAACCTAAGATTTGAAGACTGTGTGGAAGAATGGGCCAAAATCGCACCTGAGCAATGCATGCGACTATTTTCTCCATACAGGAGGCGTCTTGAAGTTGTCATTACCAACAAATAATTTTGTACGAAGTATTAAATAAATTTCAGTTAGAGTGTTCAATACTTTTTTCCATATGTCATTACATTTTATTACACATAACTTAATTTCTGACCTTATTTGTTTTGGTTTCTTTGTATCTATGAATTGCATGGGTTGTTACCGACACATGGTGAAAATTTAATGTCAATAAAAAAAATATATATATATTTACCTGGAAAAAATGGTGACATGTTCAGTACTTATTTTACCCGCTGTATATTGCATATTACAGCGCTGAGCGAACCTTTGGCGCTATATAAATACTGTATAATAATATTACATCTGATGTGATCTATTAAATGGTTGTAACCTCTTTGATTTGTCTTTGGGAAACACAATATGTCATTGCTGGTTGAACTATGAAACAGAAAGGCTTTACACATTTATTTATAGGTTTGATCTCCCAGCTACTCAGTAAAATGTACACTTTACAAGCATGCTTGGATTTTAAGTTTAGCCCAGATCTCCCACTGTAAGTAAAGGGCAGTGAGTGGGAGGTCTACTTTTACTTGATAAGGTTATCTGTCATCAAGATCCAGCACAATCTTCTATCTGACTTGGCTGACAAATGGATGGAGCACATGTACAGAGGACAGGGAGAAGTTGATGTCTAGGTGTATTGCTCTGACTTTAACCCCTAATGATGCTTTCATTGGGCAGACAAACTTTTCTTTCATTGTTTTCATAGTATATTTCCTAGTTATAGAGGACAGATTGTAGGTGGATTTCAGAGTTAGGAAGTGAGATGCAGGAGCCAGTAGGAGGAATGGACATGTACTTTGGTTCATAGAAACTAGAAAAGGCTCAAACAATTCAGGAGCTGTATGTCCTTTTTAAATGTCGGCACATTGACTAACTTGTGTGATATTTTTATATATTTTATTTATATATATATATTTTTTTTTTAGCTCATTATTACAGTACACACTGTATCGGTTTCATATTATCTAATGTGATCCTTGGACACTAATCATTAATAACTTGTGGTTGTTTTCTTTAAGCTTGGAACCATCTGATGAAGATCTTCCAGGGTATGATAATGAGGTGAGAGCTGATGTGAAGGACCTTTGTGAAAGTTCAGCAGTCAGAGAGCCGCCTTTCCTTACAGCTGGAGATCACAACACTGTAGTTGTACATAAACAGATAAAATCCACTGGCTTTCAGTCAATGCACAGCATACGGCAGGAGGAGCTAGGTCCTAACCCAAGCAACCAGGTGATCAGTTCACAGACAGTCAGCTCTGCGGTTTATGATGAAGACAGCCAGAGCAATGGATCCATCAGGCAACAAATGGATGCCAGTATGCAGGAGAGCAGAGATTCTGCCAAACAGGACTTGACTGGAGTCACAATGAAGGTCCTTGCAGAGGAGAGGTGTTCAGAACTGGTTAAAGAGATTGTATCCAAAGACAAGTCCTTGGTGGACATTCTAAAACCTCTCCCTGTGAGGACATCTGCAATCAGTCTCATGAAAAGCCTTTTCCATGTGGATATTTCAGTATTGGAAAAATGCAGGAATCGGGAACTAAAGAAAGATTGGTAAGTCATTTTATGAACAGTCTTCCAGTTTGTACACTTACACAAACACAAACTAGTCTTTTTGCTTGAATAAATATAGTCATACCGTAGAATGAAAGAGCTCCCATTAACCACAAACACCTGGTTTAGGCAATTAAATGCAAAATGAATAATTCCATTATGGCAGATGTTGGAGGCCCCAGTTATACCACACACATGCCCTGTCTCTACAAGTGCTGCATCTTCTTTCTGTATTAGGTAAACAAGTGAAAACTGTACGAGGCATAGTGAATACCTGCCCTTACAGATAAACAAGCCTAAAAACACAAGTATTTACTACCAGAGTTTAGACATATAGTCACCGATGATTAAGACCACCATTCAAAATATCATCTGCTATAGCTCTTGAGATACGGAATACAACATACAGTCCTCCAGGCTCACGTGTATCAACCCCCAGTAGGTCTTAATCATATCTGTGTTGATACCCCATGCAGGTGAGCAGTAGCTTGTTGTTAAACCTTGATATGATCAATATATTATTAATTCACATAGGTAAGCCTGATATTTTTAATATGATTTGCTAAAGAAGTGTTAACGGGTCATTTTTCCTAAAACTGACCTGCTATTTTGAATGGTGGTCTTAATCATCGGTGACTAATTATATGTCTAAAACTCTGTTAATAAATACCTAGGCTTTTAGGTTTGTTTATTTGTAAGGGCAGGTATTTACTATGCCTGGTACAGTTTTCACTTGCTTTACCTAATACAGAATACAGAAAAAAGATGTAGCACTTGCAGAGACAGGGCATGTGTGTGGTATAACTGGGGACTCCAACATCTGCCATAATGGAATTATCCATTTAGCATTTAATTGCCTAAACCAGGTGTTTGTGGTTAATGGGAGCTCTTTCATTATACGGTATGACTTTTGAACCCAGCTTGTGTAAAGCTAGACTTCAAGTTATGGATGTATGTTCATGACCATTAGTTCAACCTCCAGATTTCGCAGATGTACAACAAAAGCAGTTGACCATATAAATGCGTTTTTTGTGTTCAGGATACAAGTGGATTATTCACCTGGGTCCTGAATATTTAAACAGATGTTGATTGACTGGTATTAGCTGCAGTCTGCTACTATTATAGAACACCAAACTTTTATTCTGTTTTAAACATTGGCTATTCACATGTTCATTTGGTTTTTTTCAGTTCATTACCAGGCATTAAGATGCATGTTTTTTGTTTTTTAATTGTACCATACAGCAAGTGTGTTGTGTTCTCTGCAGTGTGGTTGCGTTGCCCTCAACTGTAACAGTCCATCTGGGTGCCATTCAGAGAGAATTTAATTGCAGCACATCACACTATGTTATATGCATTACTGTATGTTAGGGTGCCATGGTAAATTGTAACATGCTTTGCCATGCCAGTTTGAATAAGCAATAAATGTTTGACTAATATTTTTCCAAAAAAATATGTAATTGCTTTTAAATAATTTGTACATTACTAACTTTAATGCCTGGTTCACATCTATGAAGGTTGCGTTTGATCCGTCTCTGCATTTTTTGTGGTGCGTTTTACATTTTTGCGCAGTGTTTTTGACATGCTTTTGATGCATTGTTTTTTGTTATGCAAGGTAAAAACACAAAATGCATCAGAAACGCACTACACGCTTTTCTGCCTTGCATCCATTGAAGTCTATTGAATTCCAAACACGCAGTAGCTGAAAAACGCATAGATGTGAATGTGTCCCATAGGAAAACCGTGTTAAATGGACTGTAGTGCATTTCTGCAAAACGCAAAACGCACTAAAAAACGCATGGTTTTGAACCAAGCCTAAAAGATCTTGTGGAAGTTGATGCAAAAACATAATTCCCTAAATATTCATGTAAATAAGATAGCACCCTGAGAAACTATGGACAGTAAAACCTCTGTCTGTATCTGTAATCAATATGGTTTCTGATTTCTTTGGCAGAATATGTCAAAGTATCTCAAGCTGCACAAATTTGGATTTCTGCTTTGGGATTATACTAAAACTGGATTTCCAATACAGTACCAGTCCATTTTTTATTCTAAATTTCATCAAACTGTTAACTCATAAGGCTCACGCACACTGGGCGTTTTATTAACGCTGGTAACGTTAACTGTGTGAAGTCATGTTGAAAACATGTGTTTTTCATCGTTTTTGTATTAGCGTTCAGTGGCGTTTTGCTGCGTTTTTTTTCATGTATTTGATTTTTAGAGGGTTTTTTGGTCAAAAAAATATCCACAAGCGCTGGTTTGCCGCGTTTCACCACGTTTTGCTGCATTTTTAAACGTTAGAGTGTTTTTACAGCTAAAAAACTCCTGTAGAAACCCAGTAGTTCTGGGGGGTTTTTCCAGCCAAAAAATGTCCCTGCCAAAAAACACTGATTACAGTCTATGTATACATGGACACATAGGATAACATGCTGGGGGGTTTACTGGCTGTAGTAAAAACGTCAAAAGCCAAAAACAGCCGCTGTAAAAAACGTCCAGTGTGCATGAGGACTAACTATACAGCTTATCATTATAACAGCCATGTTCTTTTGTTTATTTTATCAGTATACAGACACACTTCAGATAGCTTGTGGTTCTTTCTTCCAGCTGTCAAATGAATGCCTTACTTTGTGTATAATGTCATGTGTTTCTTTCCAGTAGGGTGAATGTTGAAGGTATGTCTAAATCACATTCAAAGACTAAGCTGCTGCTTCAGAGGATGTCTGATGAAAGCCTGAATGAAATCACCGCTAAAAAGGTTGGTCACAATACTGATTTGAATCATCAGAATGAAATGAGATTAAAAAAAAAAAAAAAATTAATCTAATACTTGCTAGAAATCCTCCCAGTAGTAACAAAGAGGGGGCCTCCCTTCCTGCTACTAATTTGTAAACGTGAGATTAGTGCTTTACAGACTGTTCTGACCATTGTAACACAGTAGTTCACATAACAGGTGTCCCTTTTTTATAGTTCGATATGCAAAACCACATATCACCAGCAGGAGGTGCTTTAGGTAATGTTTGGAAGTTACTTGGGGGGACCCTGTAATGGACTGTGAAGATGGGAATTTTGAATATTATTACCTTAAGGGTCTCAGGCAGGGGTGGCTAACCTGTGGCTCTCCAGCTGTTGTGGAACTACATTTCCCATGAGGCATTGCAAAGATGGGAAGTTACTGACTTGCAGAGGCATGATGGAACTTGTAGTCCTGCAGCAGCTGGAGAGCCACAGGTTGGCCACCCATGGACTCTCAGGAATATGGGATGTTCATTTCACCTGGGAAAGATTTTAAATTTAATAATGACACAGCAAAGCCAAATAGCTGCCAAAAAGCAACCAGTGCTCCTTAAAGTAGTTCTAAAGACAGAGGTTTTTTTCTCATGATGCATTCTCTGCATTAAAGTGGTTGTAGACCCTCACATATACCCAGTGAAGTGATTGGCTGGTGGTGGTGCACAGAGATGAAACAACTCCTCCTATATAAGTTGTACCTGTCTATCTGCAGTATTCTCTCCTATACAGCTGTTTAAAGTCCAGAATTTATAAAGCTTGTCAGAGCAGTGAGAAAAAAGGGGGTGGAGAGCTGAAATTACACTATGCAGAGCTCAGTGAGGAGAGCTCTGAGAGCTGATTGGAGGGAAGGGACACACCCCTCTTCACACAGCTCACAGGAACAGAGCTAAGGTTATCAATCTGCAGGAGGTCCTTCCCCTATCGCCTTTATTTTCTGTTGGTGTCAGGAAAACTTGTCAGAACTGATTCATGCTGATAGCAGAGAAACCAAGCAGCAGACAGAAGAGACGCTTAGTGCTCTTTATTGAGATAAGCACACACTATAGAGGGATATGCTTTGTTCATATTTGATGTGAGGTTTACAACCACTTCTAGGTTAAAACACCTTCTGCAAGCAGCTTTCCGCCGAATCCCCCCCCCCAGCTCCTCCTAAATACCTACCTGAGCCCGATCTGAATCCAGCGATGTGCATGAGAGCAGAGTCTCTCTCATCTCTCTCTCTTCATGGGCTCAGACACAGCAGCGGGAGCCCTTGACTCATGCTGCTGGCAATCACAGCCAAGGGGGGGGGCCTGAGTTGTGCTATGTTTGTCTTATGGACACACAGTTTTGTCTCGGGAGTGAGCACACACAAGTGCCCCCATAGCAAGCGACTTGCTATAGGGGCACTCTGCAGGGGGGAGGGGCCTGGAGCACCAGCAGGGAACCTGAGAAGAGGAGGATCGGGGCTGTTCTGTGCAAAACCGTTGCATAGAGCAGATAAGTATGACATGTTTTTGTTATTTAAAAAAAATAAAAAGGAAGCCTATAGAATCACTTTTATCATTTGATAGGACATCAAATATTTTTTGTTTACAAATTCTTTTATTTTATTTTTCAGATGGAACTTATGTCCAACATAATCTCACAACTGGAAGAACTCTTTGCCCAAAGGGAATCCCTTCTGTCTGAGATCAATGACAACGCATCTCACGGTACCAATATGGAAGCCATAGTGAAAGAGGTCTGTAAATCCAATGAGTATGAGCGCTACATGATGTTTATCGGAGACCTGGAGAAAGTAGTGAGCCTGCTTTTCTGTCTGACCACAAGGTTAGCACGGGTGGAAAATGCTTTGAGCAGAACAGATGAAAATACGGATGCTGATGAGATGGTAAGTTCATATTTTCTACACAGGTGTGCATAGATATCAGATTCTTTCTTGCCACTATAAACCTTAGATAATGCCCTAGGAGTTTGCACCACCTGTGTGCTGCTTAATGGTCATTAACATATCTTTTGTTTCCAAGGGTGGGAGAGGTCTGAGGTGTGAATTGGTCATTGTGTGACAAGCTTGGTAGGAACATCCTGTGTTCAGTGTTTTGTCCATCTGAGTACCTTGAAAACGCTTTGCATGCATTTTTCATGATGAAAAAACGCTCTGGACAGCCTCGGGAACTGGAAGAGTTTATCCACTTCCTGTCCGGACACTTTTAACCCTTCCTGTTCAGGGCAATTTTTAGCTTTCAGCTCTATCACACTTTGAATGACAATTGCGCGGTCATACAATACTGTACCCATATGAATTTTTTACCATTTTTTTGAGACAGATAAAGCTTTATTTTGGTGGTATTTATTCACCGCTGGGATTTTTATTTTTTTTACTATGTAAATGAAAAAAAGCGTTTCCTTAAATAAAATTTTGCAAATAAATAATATTTCATCATAAATCTTAGCCAAAATTTATTCCGTTATTTTTTTAGTAAAAAAAAAAATCCAAATTAGTTTATAACCAAAAATTATAATTTTTAAACATTTTTTTTTACATTTTATTTTATTTTTTTTAAATTATTATTTTTTTTTTATTTATTTTTTTTTTACATACTGTCACCCTAGCAGTACACTGTCACCATGGTGACACTGTACTACTTGTGGAGGGTGATGAAGATTTTTTTTTTTTTTTTTTTTACACTGATTGCTTTTACACCCATATAGGATGTAAAAGCAATCATTTCTCTTTCTCTCTGTCTGCATTCTTGCAGTCATTGAGAATTACTGAGTGAGCTGTGAGTGGTCACAGCTTGTCACATGGTACAAGGCTGTTGTGAATAGCCTTGTACCATGTGACCTCTGTGATCATTCACAGATTTCACACATAGTAAGCAATGATGTCACAAGTAACATCTTGCTTACTACTTTGCATGTGATCACTGATTCGCCAATCAGTGATCACATGATCGGGACCTCGTACAGAGGTCCCGTCCGACGATCGGTGTTTCACTGTGTCCGGAGGATACAGCGGGCACCGGATCGCGGTGGTGTGCGCTCCCAGGGAGCGCGCACAGCTAGAAAAGGCGGGTGCCGTTTATGAACGGCAACCCGACCCTGGACTGCCACCGCCCTGCCGTTTATAAACAGCAGGCGGACGGCAAGTGGTTAAAAAAAAATGTTCAAATGCAAACACTAATAAACGCGTTTTTTCCGCGTTTACAAGTGTTTACAAGCGTTTTGCATTGAAACACTGATAAAATCGACTGCTGAACGCAGGTTTTCTGCATTAAAAAAAATGACTGTAAACTCAAATGCCTGTCAACAACGATGTGTACATGGACACATAGGAAAACATTAGGGTGAGTTCAGGGGCTGCTGAAAAAAAATGCTGAACAGCTCCTAAACGTGAGTTTATCAGCTGCAGTGTACATGAGCCCTTAGGCTTAGTTAGAATTTGACTGGAATTCAACTTTAAGTAACAGCCTGCCAGAAAAAAAAGAATTACTGCTGTGATGTGTTTTAGCTAACCCAAAGTTCTCTGGAAATGTATTTGTAAAACAAAGATTGTGTATACTTGTTAAACATACAGAAAACAAAATAGAAAACATTTTGAGTTGCTGCAATTTCAGCAAAATGGACTAGCCTGCTGCATCATTTTTTCACTTTGATTTTCGGGGTGTCTGTGAATTCAGTCCTCTGTAGGTTGATGATTTTCATTTCCATCAAATGATGGGGCATTCTTACGTTCCTAACACATTACCCAGTCCATACCACTATAGATATCCAGCATGATATTTTTCCCATTGAGATCTGATGTGTTTTCAAAGTGTTCCTTTAATTTTTTTGAGCAGTTTATAATAGTCAATTGTCAGGAATTGTCCAAAAAATAAATATCACTTTGTCATCAGAAAAAATGAATAAATGTTTATATGTATTTTTTCTGCAGGCTTTGTTGGTTTTCCTTTCTTACTGTATGTGTACATTACGTTTCTTCAGTTACTTCCTGGTCTGCTGCCTAGGCAAATGATGTGTTACGTCCCAGGGGATGGAGGGGAGGAGAAGTTTTCTCAGCTAAGCACGCCCTCCTGCTTGTATGCCTGAACTAAGGGCAGATATATTCCAGGAAATAAATTCTACATGAATCATCTGCCCTTACATTAGGTGGCCATGGCCCTAACTGCTAAGTGGGGTGTTTTTTTCAAAGTGATTTCTCGGCAAAATAATAGATGGAGACATACATGGAGGAAGGAGATTGCTTTGCTTTGAATATTAAAAATGAATTAAAAAACATTTTTGCTTGTAGTGCAGTGTAGTTACGCTTTAATCTCCCGAGGCTGTATTTCAGAGTTGCAGTAATAAATTCACACACCAGTGGGCAGTACTAAATCATATTACATGTGTACAGGGAAATCTAATGTAATCAGCACTGACAGACACCAGTAATTATACATTTCGTTTTTAACTTCATAATGATTTCCTTTGTGGGAATCCTGTTTTTGTAAATTCCAGACTTTATCATCGGAAAGTTACTTTCCTTCCTGTCTTAGGGCTATGTGTAACTTGACAAAAAGTGAACACTTTATTTGGGGTCTACTTTAATTTCTGATTCGCCAGTGCAAACTTACCGTGATGGTACATTAATGGAGATAAGATGATGCCCTTTTAATAATAATAATTCTTAATAATATTAATAGTAATAATAATAATAATAATAATACATCACAAGGGATGATTTTTTTCCTTCAGTTAGGACTAGAGATTATTTGGCTTTACTATAGTCCTATACTATGATTGGATGATTTAAAGAAGCACATTTTTGGTGCTGATAGCCTGGTGTTTTTTCTAACTGTCCCTAACCTGTAAATCATAAATAACTGCAAATGAGACCCTGCATTCATGCCTAACCCTCAATCTTTAAGTGCAATTCCAGTCAAATTTTAAATGAGCCTAAATCTATTATCACCCCCATTCTTGGACTATTTTATCTACCTAGTAAAAGAAAAGATGTCTATACTTACCTTTTCTGAAGCCGCTCTTGTCGGGTCACATGATCAGGTCACAGCACCAGCTTCAGTGTAGAGGAGAGACAGATGAATGGGGGAATTGAAACTTTAAAAAAAAAAAAAAAATTATTTTCCATGCAGGTTGAACAAAAAAAAAAACTACAAATGTATGGGCTGCTTAACTTTGCATAGTGAACAAGATATTTGATTACAAATAAATTATTAACCACTTGACCTCTGGAAGGTTTTACCCCCTTCATGACCAGACCATTTTTTTTTGCTATTCAGCACTGTGCTATTTTCAGCGATTGCCCTGTCATTTTTTTTTTTTCACATAAATAGAGCTTTCTCTTGCTGGAATTTAATCACCAATGGGGTTTTATATTTTTTATTATATAAACAAAAAAATACTGTACAGTTTGAAAAAAAAAAAACAAATTTTTCTTTAGTCTGCCACATTTTTTGGTAGAAATAACCAAGATCGGTTATATTTCTTAGTCTGCGTGAAAGTTAGAGTCTATAATCTATGATTGATATATATATATATATATATATATATATATATATATATATATATATAAATAAAATTGACTGCCTGTCTCCTTTCCTGAGGTCCTAAATGCCAAGTCAGTACAAATACACCCTATATGGCCCCTTTTTGAAAGTAGGCAGTTGAAGGTATTTAGTAAGAGGCATGGTGAGTTTTTTTGAAGTTGCAATTTTTGGTCACATTTTTTTTTTGAATAAAAACTGTATTTCCTTTTTTTTTTCGTACAATTTTTTTTTTTCTTTACAATTTCATTTTACATACACTCATCAGAGTAGTTCAGTGTCACTATAGTGTTTTTTTTTTTACACTCTGATTACTTATAACAGTGATGATCACTGTTATGGAAGGCTTTCATTCATGGCAGCTTACTTACCATTGTGATGCTTTGATTGGTACAAGGTCGTTGTGAATGGCCTTGTGCTATGCGACAGATCACAATAGTAAGCAAGCTGTCATGAATGGTTTCCATTCATGACAGTTTTGTTTACATGTTAGCGTATGATTGCTTAAAGTGAATACATGATATCCAAGCCGCTGTGAGCACTGTGATCCGCTGAGTCCATCGGCCCCACAGTCATAGGATCGTGTCACTGTGCACCCCAGGGGGCATGCCAATGCGCATGAGCAGGACGAGTACGTCACTGTGCCTGTTCATGCCACCAGCCAGCAGTAATTGTACTACTGCTAGTCAGCAAGTGGTTAAAAACCCTGTAAAAGCATCACACTGCAAGTTGAAAACAATATGACAGAACTATACTAAAAGGTATACAATAATTTTCAGGTCTGTTATAAACCCTGCGCAGGTAATTAGGTTGTTTTTATAGGTCTTATTTCACAATTCAGTTTTTGTTTTACAAAGTGAATAGTGTTGGATGCTCTATATTTTACTCTGTACATGTCTGATTATGTTTTTTACTTTACTAATCAGCAATCCCTAAAGGAACGTCACAGTCTCCTATCCAGACAGAGGGAGGATGCCAAAGATTTAAAGGACAACTTGGACCGCAGAGAGCAAGTGGTCACTGGAATTCTGGCCAAATATCTAAGCAAAGCCCAGCTAGAGGACTACAAACACTATGTGAGGTTAAATACATACTTCTTGATTGAGCAGAAAGACCTGGAAGAAAAGATTAAATTTCATGAGGAACAGTTGGAGAGTCTTCACAACAGCATTCCTCCTTAATTAGCCAGCAGAATGCAAGGCCACATCCTTACTGGCATAGTATGACATGACGCAGAGCCCTTCGGGCTTTGATATGAAGTTTTTCGGTGTTGATTATGCTGCTGCTAAGTCGTAATAGGATTATTACTGAAAGTGTTTGTGACAGTGTTAATCAAGCTTAAAATAAAAGAGAATTCGTTGGCATAAAGGTTTGAAAGTTACATAACTTAAAAAAGTGTGCCTTTTTTTGAATAAATTATCAATGTTTTGTCTTGATTATTGTTGTTGTTATAAGTGATAGTGTCCATGTCCTTCGGTTTTCTGACTGACACAAATTATTTTCATTAAAAATGTGTAATTCTAGCAGCGATCTTTCATTTTTTTTTCATTTGGTGTGATTGTGATGTTTAGCATAAAATCAAACTGGAACTCTAACCAAAACTCTTTGTCCCTTTTTACAAAGGATTTTCCATATTGCCTGTCTCTGACAGGAGACTGAAGAGAAGAATGACCTGTATCAATGGGCTTTGGGCCTGTGTCAATGACATCAATTTAAGATGCTGCTGAGATCCTTCAGAAGTCATTAACATGTACATTTGACCTGCTGTTAACCCCCTTCTGACCTGCATCAAGTGAGTTTTGCATTCCTAAAGACTTGTATGGGAATTCAAAACCTGTCTGATGCAAACCAAAGATTGTTGATATAGGTACAAAGTGAGACAAAATCTGTCCAAAGAGGATGCAGATAGTGAAAGGAAATCCTTTGTTTATTAGAGTGGGGTTTGTATCCCTGTCTACTTTTGCTGAGACTCTGTCTATCCCAATGTCAGTTGTCATGTGACAGGAGGTGATGGGAAATCCTCCCAGGAACCCAGAGAACAATTAAGACCTAATAGCTATTGACAATGACTCTCCAATGCAAAACAGTAGAAAAAAAATGCAAATTGTGCCTCTTTGTCATTATAACTTTCCTCCAGGGGACTCCCAACACTCCAGAACAGGCATAAATAGAGCTGGTTGTCACACTATCCAGTCCTGTAAGACCTGTGTTACACTTGTATGGGAATGCAAAATGTGTGAAGCGAATTGACACAGGCCCTTTACACCCCACAAGGGATGCATAAGCAAGAAGGATAGAATGTACATTGTATGAAATGCTAGTATTACCTATACCCAATATCCGTGGAAGCAATTGTGTAACGGTGTGTGTATATATACTGATTGTATCATTGAAACATTGTGCAAATCCTTATAAAAAAAAAAATGTTTCACGTACAACCAAAGTTCCCCACTTTATCCAAAAATAAAAAATTTGACTGGAGTTCAAACATTTTGTAATAATTTACAGTGGAGAAAATAATTATTTGATCCCCTGCAAATTTAGTAAGTTTGCTCTCTTACAAAAAATGAAGGGTCTATCATTTTTATCATAGGTGTATTTTAAATGATAGAGACAGCATATCAAGCAAAAATCCAGAAAAACACATTATTATTATTATTATACAGGATTTATATAGCGCCAACAGTTTTTGCTCTGCGCTTTACAATATAAGGGGAGACAATACAGCAACGATACAGTTCAATACAAGAGGGATAGGAGGGCCCTGCTACTTGGTGCTTACAATCTAAGAATGATAGAAATGTTATAAATTGAGTTGCAGTTCAGTGAGTAAAATAAATATTTGATCCCCTACCAACCAACAATAAATCCGGTTCCCACAGACTATGTGCTCATGTGGTACACAGATTAGTTCTGTCAATTTAAGAAGGTGCTCCTAATGACAACTCGTTATTAGGGGTGCACTGAAATTTTGGTGGCCGAAATGTTTCGGCCTAAACAACACCCCTATTGGCTGTTAGCCAATATGAAAATAAGCACCGATACAGGTGCTGAAAATAACCCCGCCCCCTCGCCGCTGCAGCCACCCTCCTGCCGCTGATGCCACTGGACGCCGCTCGGTAGTTCTCAGCCTTACGTGAGAAACCACCAAACGATCCTGGCGCTGGGCATAGAGATAAGTGAAGGAAAGATGGCCTCCACTCATCTCTGATGTCCCTTCCAGTTCCAGAGCCTTGTAAACAAGGACATTTTTTTTTAAGCACTAAATCAATGCTCTTTTTGATCTAATGCTTTACATTGTAAAGGAGAGATGTGGGCTCTTATTGACCCCATATCTCTCTATAAAGAGGACCTGTTACTAATTGTTTCTATCACAGTGGATGCATGCATTTCTTGTGAAAGGAATAAAAGTGATTACATTTTTTTTTTTAAAGGGATGAGTGAGATAAAGTGAATGCATACGTAGCCACACCCCATATGTAAACTGTCTTCAAACCACACATGTGAGGTATTGCCACAAACGTCAGAGCAATAATTCTCGCAGTAGACCTCCTCTGTAACTTTACACTGCTAACCTGTAGAAATTTTTAAAGCGTTACCCATTGAGATTGTTAAGTACCGTAGTTTGATGCAATTCCACGAGTGTGTGCAATTTTAAAGCATGACTGTTGGGTATCTATTTACCCGGCATAACATCAACTTTCTTAATTTACAAAAAAATTGGGGTAAATATTTTGGGTTTTTTTTTTCTCTTTTATCATTAAAGTATTTTTTTCCAAAAATATAACTTAATTTTTAAAAACTGTCCGTTTTTGGTTTTTTTTCGGCCAAGTGCATCCACAATGTTCGGTTTCAGCACCAGAATTTTCATTTTGGTGCACCACTACTCATTATGTGTGTATAAAAGACACCTGTCCACAGAATTTCTTTCTTCAAACCTCACCATCATGGGCGAAACCAAAGAGCTGTCAAAGGATGTCAGGGACAAGATTTTAGATCTGCACAAGGCTGGAATGGAATTGGCAACTAGTTGGTGAGAAGGAGACAGGTGTTGAAGCAATTATTTGCAAATGGAAGAAATACAAAATAACCATCAATCGCCCTTGGTCTGGAGTTCCATGCAAGGTTTCCCCTCATGGGGTAAGGATGATCATGAGAAGTGAGGGATCAGCCCAGAACTATATGGGAGGAGCTTGTGAATGATCTCAAGGCAGTTGGGACCACAGTCACCAAATAAACCATTGGTAACACAATACACTGCTATGGAATGAAATCCTGCAGTGCCTGCAAGGTTCTCCTCCTCAAAAAGGCACATGTACAGGCCCATCTGAAGTTTGCCATTGAAGATCTAAATAATTTAGAGAATGATTGGGAGAAAGTGCTGTGGTCAGATGAGACCAAAATTGAGCTCTTTGGCATTAATTTGACATGCCATGTTTGGAGGAAGAAAAATGCTGACTATGACCCTAAGAACACTATCCCTACAGTCAAGCTTGGGGATGGAAACATTATGCTTTGGGGCTGTTTCTCTGCTAAAGGTACAGGCCGACTTTGCCACATTGGGGTGCCAATGGACGTGGCCATGTATTGTAAAATCTTGGATGAGAACCTTCTTCCGTCAGCCAGAACACAGAAGATGGATCGTGGATGGGTCTTCCAGCATGACAATGACCCATAACATACCGCCAAGGCAACAAAAGAGTGGCTCATGAAGAAGCACATTAAAGTCATGGAGTGGCCTAGCCCGTCTCCAGATCTTAATCCTATAGAAAATGTATGGAGTGAGCTGAAACTTCGAGTTGCCAACTGACAGCCAAGAAACCCTAAGATTTTAGAGAAGATCTATAAAGAAGAGTGGACCAAAATCCCTCCTGAGATGTGTGCAAACCTGGTAACCAACTACAAGAAACATCTTACCTCTGTGGTTGCTAACAATGGTTTCTCCACCAAGTACTAAATCATGTTTTGCTTGCTTACTTTACTCACTGAACTGCAACTCAATCTATAACATTTCTATTGTGTTTTTTTTCTGGATTTTTGATGATATTCTGTCTATCATTTAAAATACACCTATGATAAAAATGATAGACCCTTAATTTCTTTGGAAATTTGCACACTTACTAAATCTGCAGGGGGTCAAATAATTATTTTCCCCACTGTATAATGATTTTGCATTGTTTTAATTTTTCAAAGTTGAACTTGTTAGTTATGCTTCTTAGTCTGTTGACCAAACAAATACTAAACAGCATTACAGTGCAGCATTGTTTGCATATGACTCCACGCAGCCTCTCAGGTACTCTCAATCCAGAGCCATTGCAACATGCAAAACCCTTCTTAGTAGTTTTCAGGGCTGGGCCATCTCTTGTTACTTTTCCTGCTCCTTTTGGTCAGTAAGTCAAACACTAGGGATAAACCAAATGAAATAGGATGGGAAGAAGGTATAGGTCCGCTCATTATACATGCAACAGGAGCCAGGGATTCATAGAGCAGTACAAGGTCTGTGCAGGTAGTGTTTGGTACCTGCTTTATAATGTCTCAGTCAATACTGGCAGGTTGTCTCTAGCATTATGAGTATCATGTCACTGATTAGGACACTTTTAAGGGAATTGAAGTGTATTTATTTTTCGGGATAAAGAACCAACACATTAGTTATGTGTGTAGCGCTATTTGTACACTCTTTGCGGCTACTGGGGTATGATGGCGCCACCTGTATAGTATTTAGGAGCAGAGTCCTTATAATCTGTGTGATCAGGACAAGATCTCTAACAAGAGCTAGTGCCTCCACTCAATTGGGGCTTGTGGATAACAAGTGAAATCCCAACTGAGAAATGTATCATCCACATAGACAGTAATCCACACATCATTGTATATGAAAGTCCATGTATTGAAGAAATCACATTCAGTGAACTATCCAACATAAAGTATCTTCCAAACAGGAACATTAAAGCATTAACAGTCTTTTTTGCATATCTCAGTGAGGGGAGGCTGCAACACTTACAGTTTGAGCTCTCTCTCTGCCAGCTATGCACAAACCTCTCTTTTGCACAAGTGCTCTCTCTGATGACCTCATCCTCAGTGCCCAGAGAGCATAGCAGCCATATTGGAAAAGAGCAAAACAAACACTGCATAACAGAAGTATGCACTGGAAAATGGGCAAAGAAATTATCACAGCACTACATGT